CGTCATGTTGGTAGAAGTCGCAGACGTGGACTGTATATTGCTATAACACGTGGACTGCATGATGGTATAACACGCAGTCGTGGACTGCATGATGGTATAACACGCAGTCGTGGACTGTATGATGGTATAACACGTGGACTGCATGATGGTATAACACGCAGTCATGGACTGTATGATCAAATCTTATAAAGCTGGGAAATCCGTGCTGCTTATCTAGAAGTGACTCACAGCATTGATGTTCTTGGGGCTACACATGAAGGTGCTTAAATGACATAAAATAATGTAAATTTGGCATTGTAGAACTCAAGGTAATTAATTACATGAAGAATAACTTTGATTTCAGTTCATCTTGAGTCCATAAAAAATGATGAACTCCTACTTACTTCACCAACTCAATATTACCTCTGTATGGAGTATGATTTTTCTCCATTGTGATGCCTCCTCTTAATCAAAATATGGAAGTTATAATATTAGGTAAGCTTTTGTAGTGAGCATTGAGAAATCATAGTGAAATAAAAGCATAAATTTTGGAGAAAAATAGAGAAGAATTAACATTAATTTTCAGCCTACTGTATACCAGGGATTATGGTAGACATACAGGTTTATTATTTGTAATTCTTTATCATGAAGACACTGTCATGAATTTGGCTTTATTACCCTCTCACTCTTTTTTTTTTAAGTTTGCTATAGGACACATGTGGTCACTAGAGAGAGAGAGAGAGAGAGAGAGAGAGACCCTCCCCTCCATCACCATGGGGATAGTCATGCCGCAGTCTCTTCTTTTCCACTCTCCTCTCAGGATTTTGGGCATGCATGCACACATGTCTGGTGTATTTTTCAAGTTGCTGGGTCTGGAACTCGCACTGCACTGTCATCTATGTGGGATCTGGCCACCTTAACCACCACGCTACCAACCCAGCCCTCCCATTTTTTTTTTAAAGTTTATTTTTTCTGAGGGGAGGTAGAGACACAGGTAGACAGAGATGGAGGGAGGGATAGTTAGGGGCACCTGCAATAGGGTCCTTGTGCCACACTGCACCTTTAGTCTCAGCTAGTCTGGATCACAAGTATGTGTGCATATGCCTGGTATGTGGCCAGAGAGGGCCTAGAATATGAACCCAGGACCTTTTCAGCGTGGGTCCAATTCCATCACTACTGTGCCATTGCCTGGTCCCTTCTTTGTCTCTTTCTCTTTTAAAGAATTATTATTTAATTTGACAGAGGGGGAAAAAGAGAGAGAGAGTGAGTGAGTTCTGGGACTTGAACTACAGTCAGCTATGTGAGAGTCCAGTGCCTTAACCACCATGTCACATGTGGTCCCTACCCTGCTCTCTTTTTTAAACAGGTGAACTTACTTAAGAGCAGGGAAGTAAAGTACTTTCATCACTGGTGTGCAGTAGGTATCTAGTCAGGATTTGAATCCAATCCTAATCTGAAAATTGATGCACTTTTTACAACATTTTAAAATTGTTTTCATGTCAGGAAGTAGGGCAAAATGTTAAAAAAAAAAGTTGCATTTATTCCTTAGTATTGAGAATATTGAATTTATTTTTTAATTTAAAGAGATTGTGATAGTTAGATTTACCAAAGATATTGGGGAAGTCACTCAGAAACCGAGAGTTAGAAAAATGGCATGCAGCATATGGTTTTTGGCAATAATACTACATCAAACAATGTCTTGGGTGGCCCAGATAATATTAGGAACAAGAAACTGGGATGCCAATTATAAATTAGTATCTATAAATGTTCTTATTGTAACATAGTTCTTATTTTGAATGAATATGTTTATATGCATTGACTTCTGAGATCTGGAGCCACATTTTATTCATGTTTATGTCCCAAGAACAGCATGGTTTGCAATGCGCATTGATGGATAAGAAGTGCTTTCGAAGGCATCTGTTCTCTCTTTACCTCTCATTAACTTTAGATCCATACCTGCAGCAGGATATGCAGATATGCTGGGGGATAAGACTAAGTGCTTTTTTGGTATTTTATGAGGCAGTATTTCAATTGCTTTTAAAGTATTTTTGAAGGGACCAGCAGTTAGTGTGATGGCTATGTCGCTGGACTCCCATGTAGTCGACCATGGTTCGCGTCCCGGACCCTGTGGCTTGAATCTCAACGCCAGGCGCATGTACGTGCATGCCCAAGATCCTGAGAGGAGAATGGAGGAGAAGGGATTGTGGGTGGCCATCCACTCGGGCGTGATTTCTTGGTTTCTGTCTCTCTGTCTCTGTCTGTCTGGTGAGGGCATGCGCCCTATAGCAAAAACCTCTAAAAAAATTAAAAAAAATGTTTTTGAAGATTCTTGTTTTCTTTTAAATACTCAAGGATGTTACTCATTTTTACAGGACTTGGATATACACAAAAATTGAGTAACACTGTGAAATTATGAAGTTTTAGAGGAAGTTTATGAATGTTACCTATCCCTAGCTTTTTTGCAGAGATGAAATGCCAGAAGGAGGAAGGAGTCTAGCTAGCTTTTGATAGTGTGGAATATACCCAAGTCAGGATTTCCAGTCCTAAGGCGATGTGGTGAAATAACGGTTTATGCCCACCAGGTGGCAGCTGTGCTATGTGCTGCCAGAACCTGAAGAGCCCTGAAAGGGAGACTTGCACAGGTTAAGGCGGTGCTTTTAGCATTGGGACAGTCTTTGGGCAGCCTCTTTCTACACAAAACTGAAAGTCCAACTGCTCAGGCATTCCCCAGTTATTAAAACTGAAAGGAGTAACAGTGTTCAGAATGAAAGGAACGGTACTCTCAGTAGCAAGGAGTTGAAGTTCAGAAAATATAGCAACTATTAAGAGTCATCAGAATTGTCCCTAAGGAAAACCGAACTCGGGGAGAGTGGAAGCCACCACAAATCCTAATTCAAGTTGAAACTAAGTTCATGAGTCATTGACTCAGTGGGTAAGGGTAATTTTTACATGACACTTTCAAGTAGTTTACCAATGAACTTTTCAGTGACATGCTCTATTTCCACGGTTTAATCTGAAGAATTGAAACGGCTAGGTAGGTAGATCTGAGCAGGCAGTCCTGAGGACACCTGCCTCAGCAGTCACAGCTTATCGGGGGGCATAACTCGACTCCCTGGGTACTCCTTCCTCCCAGGTACCTCCCTCCCTCCCTCCCTGCTCCCAGTGCAAGGAAGGGAAATTTGTTTTTTCTTCCCTAAGCTTTTAGGTCAAAGAACTTAGCGAACATTATTATCTCCTCTCCTGCTGTCTCGTGTAAACACACAGGAATTCATCAGCATGCTTGGTCAACATCGGGGCAATAAACTGCTACGAGCAAGATCGTCCCTGTGTGCCTCAAGATGTCAAGAGTCCACACTGGGCAAGGGTAACTGGGCAGACTCCTTACCTGTCTCTCTCTCGTGTGTGTGTGTGTGTGTGTGTGTGTGTGTGTGTGTGTGACCTATAGCATCAAACAATAATTATAATAATGATAATAAAGAAATAATCTTTAAAAAGAAACTATTTAAAAAATTCCTTACCTGACAAGAAGTACGCAAACATAGGTAAAACCCCACAAATCTAAGCAAAGGGGCCGGCTACAATGACATACTTCCCCTCCTAAGTATCCATGACAGGATCTCACAATAACCAAATATCAGCTGCTCATTTCCATGCATTTTTAGCACGGGATGCATTCATTTTCTGTTAAAAACATCCTCACTTTTCTATGAAAAACGATCCTTTTCCTACTTGTATTTGTGGCTTCATTCTGCGTCTCAGGGTGGGTCTCTAACCTTAGAGATCTGGACCCAAAGAACTCAGTGTTTCACACAGTACTGCTCAGCTTCCCTGGGGGATATCAAAACCACAGTCTGTTCGTGACACTCATTTTGTGAGTTTGCTCTAAAATGAGGATACCACTTTAAAGTCTTTATGAGGAGCTACCTTCTATGGTGGTTGGATCATGAAGGAAAATTCTTGTAAAGCTCTTAGCACCGTGTTTGGCACCTGTGCTGAACACATTTGTACTGTTTTTATTTTTAAAGCCATTAGTGTTAATGCCATTGATAGGTTTTTCGAAAGTTGGTGTTCTTCCAACCATGTAGTATTTAGCTCTGTTGGTTGCTAGGGTATGTAAAAGAAATATGACCTTTTCAACATTTATTCATGACGCTTTACAAATATAAAGGTGATTAATATTTTGAACCCTTATTGGTGCCAAATATTGTGCTAGGTTCTTACATATATAGTTTCAGTCAATTCTCACAACTACTCCCTCAGAAGGGTAATGGTAGCTTCAAGGTAGCAGAAAGGGAACCAAGGCGCACTGAAGCCAGTAAAGAAATGCTTTTACCTGGGCCAGCAAGTGGTGTGGTGGTTAAGGTGCTGGAATTCCCACATGGCCGACCACAGTTCTAGTCCCGGACCTGGTGGCTTCTCTCTCTCTCTCTTTCTCTCTTTCTCTGGCAAAACTCATGTGAAAATAATAATAAATAAAGTTAAATAAATTAAAAAAGAAAAGAAATGCTTTTACCTTCATGTCTGTATTTGATACCACTGAACAGTCCTAAGTTTTTGTGGTTTGATGCTCTATATACAGATCTACCAGGAAAACATAAAGTAACTTTGTATTGCCTCTTTACTGAGGCAAAGAAGATTTTTGCAACTCCCCAGTATATCATAGTAAAAGTTATTTTAATTCAAAGTAGAATGCTTTTCTTACTATTTTACTCTTGTCCACTTATGTACTAAAGGATAACCCCATAAAACAAAACAAGAATTTAAAGTACGATAAAAAATGGGCAGATAAAGAATGCTGAAATGAGTATGAGTCTCTCCAGGACAGTAATTAATTACATTCCACTAGACACAAATAACTTACAGTTTTATAGAAAAGAATAATTGAATAATTTGCATTGAGGCCAGCAGGTTGTGAGGTGATTGAGGGACTGGACTCACACAGGGCTGACCACAGTTCGAATTCTGGACCTGGTGGTTTGCTTTCTCACTTTCCCTCTCTCTAGTGAACACATGTGCCCTGTAGCAAATTAAAAATAAATAAATAGATACAGAATAATTTGCATTATTAACCATGCTTTACAATGTGCTAGTAAGGATTGTAAGATCATTTTGTTTGTTTTTAGACTTTTGCTATAGGGCACATATACTTGCTGGAGAGACAGAGACAGACAGCAAGAAACCTCCCCCCGACCCATGAGGCATGGCCATGCCACAATCCTTTCTCCTCTATTCTCCTCTCAGGATATTGGGCATGCATGTGTACGCACCTGGAGTGAGTTTTAAGTCACCAGTTCCAGGACTAGAACCATGATCCACTACATGGGAGTCAAGTGACGTAACAATTGTGGCATTTGTTGGTCCCTTGAAAAAGCTTTTTAAACTTAAACAACAAAACAACAAACTTTCAAATAGGGCTTTTTAAAAAATGAATTATTCAATTTTATTTATCATTTATATTTTTTAATTTGACCAGAGAGAGCCAGAGAGAGCGAGTAAGGGAAGGAGAACAAGCAAGCCATCAGGTCTGAGACTCAAACCGCAGTCGGGTATGTGGGAGTCCAAGGCCTTAACTGCCATGTCAGCTGCCTGCCCTGGAGGCTAATTCTTTATGTTTGATGATTTAGAGCACATGTGTTTGTCCTGTTCTGGAAAGTAAACAGTAAATTATACTTAGCATAGATGCAATGTACAGTGACTGGTTTTTAACAGTTGGGATTCTTTTCAAGGTATACATATATATATATAAAAGCAATAGATGTTTCAGTACCTTGTTAATGTTTACTTTGTGATTCATGTACAAAGATTATCATAATGATCAGCAACAGCAAAAACAGCAATGGGCAATGGAATAAAAATAATAACTGCTTTTCCACTTAAGAACAGTTTTTACAAGCCAGCAGGTAGCTTGGAGGTTAAGGTGGCTGGATCCCACACGGCTGGACTGCATGATTTGAGTCCTGGACTCAGTGGCTTGAAAAACTCACTAGGTATGCGTGCTTGTGTGCCCAAAATCTTAAGAAGAGAATGGAGGAGAATGGACTGTGGTGTTGCCATCCCCCCAGGGTTAATTTCCCACTTTTCCTCTCTCTCTATCTCTCCAGAAACACTTGCCCTATAGCAAAACAAAGCCACCCTCACCCCTCCCTCAATTTTTTTTCTTTTTCTACCTTTACCTTTTGTAACACTCGTGTTGATGAATGGCTGGAATTTACAGATTGCCAGTTAAGTAAGGCCACTTACAGCTTAGGTGAATCAATAAAGCCAAGTAAATTAAAATGGGATGTTAGGTTTACGGGAAAAACACGACTTACACAATTCATTGTATTAAGACTGAAAGTGGTCGGTGAAAAACAAGTACCATTAAATATTCTACATTCATTTATATGTGTATATTTATTGTCATAGACTTGTTTTATATAGTTGCTTCAACATCATTTTCAGACTTGATGTAACTTCCTTGAACCAAATTCCACTTTGTCACCCTTGGTCTATTTAAAACTTTACTTCCTCATGTGGTTTGACATATAACCCACTTGTTCCTCATCTGACCCCAAACCTAATATTCCCTGAAGCTTCTGACCGTGATAAAACATTTTGGTCAACACTAACTGGAATCACATAAGTAAGTTTTCCCATTGGGAATGAACAGGAGAACATATTTCTTTAAACTAGCCAATCTACAACCCTGGCAGGGAAGCTAGAGGATAATGCCCTGGATCATATTAAAGGCATAGTCTCACAGAGATATTCCTTCTCTCTACCTTGTCCTCTTCCTCCTGCCGTCCTCCCTTCTCTACCCCTCTTCTTCTTTTCTTCAGCTTCCTCCTCCTCTCCTCCTGCCTCAGCCTCCCCTTGTGCTGATCTAGTTACCTGTCATTTCCAGACATCTTACTGCACTTTTCTTTGGGAACTGTGGGTTAATAACGTTCTTCTGTTTCATGCATTTGGGTTTCGCTTCCTCATTGTGTCTCATCTGGCATACGCACACTTGAACTTAATTCTCTTTCTGGTCAGGGCTCTCTAGTGGCTTTCTTGACAGGAATAAACTGGATATAGGTCAAACAAAAGGCACACGGTTGTCTGCCAGTGGAAGCGTTTCCTGTGAGAGGGACACCTGGTCATGGTTCAGACACTTAAGCAGTAGGCTGGCTGTTAGGATGAAGAAATAGCCCAGGAAAGGCACACTGTAAACACCCGCGACCAGAGCCCTTGGATACCTCGTCAGGGCAGGGCTTGGGTTTACGGCCACTCTCAGAGAGACATCAAGACCAAATGAAAAGGAAACAGTCAATGACAACACATACAAGTGCTGTCCCATTTATTCTCATGTTTGAGGTTTAGGTAACCCAAATGAATAATGCTACATCATTTGAATGCAAGGTTTGTTTTATATATTCACATAGTGGGACTTCTCAGTTAAAAAAAATAAAGTTGTTGGGATCAGCCGATGGCATAATGGTTACATCGCTGGATTTGAGTCCTAGACCCAGAGGTTTGAAACTCATGCTGGGCGTGTGTGCATATGTGCTCAAAATCCTGAGAGGAGAATGGAGGAGAAGGGATTGAAGCATGGCTATTGCCCCTGAGGGGTGATTTCTTGCTTTCCCTCTCTCTCTCTGTCTGTCCATCAAGTGCACATGTTCTGTAGTTAAACAAACAAACAAAAAACTCCCTAAAAAAAAAAAAAGTCATTATTTGTAGAGTGACTAGGACCAACAAGAAATCTCTAGATTTACCTAATGTCTTTGTTTACTCTGTTCACCCGTTAATATGTGTACATCAGTGTGTGCTGTCCTCTCATCCTTCTGGAAGGTGTGGTATAATACAGCATTGTGGGAATTCAGGTGCTCTATTTCCTTGGGTGGTTAACATTAAAACCAGTCTGATAGATCCTGTTTGGCAGCCCACCAGACATAGTTATTACATACACCTTGATTTAGGTCAACAAATTGGGTTAACATGAAATGGCTGATTGCTATCACCCTGGGTGGTCTTGAATGGGATAGGAATGGGTCCACTCTAAATGGGCAAGACTCTGTAGATAGCTAACCTACTAGTTTCTGTAGGACATTACAGACAAACCCAACAGTGGCCTTGTACTGGCAGGCTATCCAGCTCAGCAGTTTCACTTTGAATGGTGAAGCTTTCTAACTATATTTTCATTTCTTATCAGTTATATAGCCACAATTAGTTTTAACCATGTAGATGTGCAAGGCACAAAATAGTAAATAGACCATCTTCTTACCCTTTTCATATATATTAATAATTCCCACTCCTTAGAGGCATCTTCCTTTAAAACAATTCTTAGTTCTGATTTTTTTTTTTTGGTATTTTAATATCCTCCACTTCTAACCTCCTATTTTCTGTCCCTATTCCTATTGATAAAGCTATATTTTTTTTGTTAAATCACTTTTTTAAAAAAAATTCAGGTTTTGATTTTAATAACTATGTATATATTTTTCCCAGCTGAACCTCTTGCTTACACTTGGTATTATCAATAATTTAAATTTTAGCTTTGTGGTGTGTGTTTAGTTGTATCTCCTCCTGGTTTTAATTTGCATCTCCGTAATGACTATTGATGTTTTCATATGCTTATTTGCCTTGAATATGTCTTTTGTGATATAGTATCTTTTTAAATCTTATTTTCTATAGGTATTTGAGGTTTAAATTTGCATGAATTCTTTATAATGCTGGGTGCAGTGTATTCAGATGTGCTTTGCAGATACTAGCTCTCAGACTAGTAACTTGCTTTTTTCTTTTCTATTTTTGAAAAATTTAAATATTTATTTAATTAATTTTATTTGTTATTATCAATTTTAAAAATTTGACCAAAGAAAATGAGAGAGAGAAGGAGAGAGAGAGAGAGAGAGAAAGGAAGGGAAAGTGAGGGACCAGCAGTTAGCATAATGGCTATGTCTCTAGACTCCCATGTAGTTGACTGTGGTTCAAGTCCCCGATCTGGTGGCTCAAACTCATGCCAGGCACGTGTGCATTCATGGCAAGATCCCGAAAGGAGAATGGAGGAGAAGGGATTGTGGTGTGGCCATCCCTCTTGGGGGGTGATTTCTCACTTTCTGTCTCTCTGTTACTCGAACTGCAGTGGGCCATGTGGGAGTCCAGTGCCCTTAACTGCCACACCATCTGCTGGCCCTGCCTTTTAATTTTCTTAGTGATGGAATTTTTAGTGAGCAAAAGTTTTCAGTATTGGCCAAGTCCAGTTTACTAATTTTGTTTTTCAAATCCTATCTAGGAATTTTTTGCCTATCCAGTGACAAGATTTTCTCCTGTTTTCTTTTAAGATCTTTATTGTTTTAGTTTTCACATTGGGTCTATTTGTACCATTTTGAGATTTTTTTTTTTTATTTAGTGTGTGTGTGTTTTGTTTTGTATTAAACATTTGGTGGGGGCGTAAAGGTTGAAGTTCATTTTCTTTTCAGATAGATGTCCTAGTATTACAGCACTCTGTTAAAAAGACTATCCTTTCTCCATTGAATGCTTTGAATTAAGAGGATAGTCTTTTATTGAAAAATCAACCAAGGTTATAATGTAGGGTGTCTTTTTTTTTCCCCACTATTCTATTTCATTGAATTATATATCTATTTGTATGGCAAAACATCTTGTCCTGTTTACTGCAGTTTTTTTTAAAAATTTTTTATTTCAGTTTCTTTTATACATTCAATCACATTTACTTAGCTTGCAAAGTGAATATTCCAACATGTGTACATTTCTCACCAGTCCAGTTAACAATACTATAAAGTTATCTTCAATAGATAATAGCCCATTTCTTTGTCCCATAAATGCCTTGCCCCTCTATTTTTCTCCTTAATGTTCTTCCTCAGACTCTACTCCTTCACCCATCCTCTTCCCACACTGTATCTGATATTCACAATCATTTACTGTTTGGCTATTGAGTGTGGACACTCGGTATATATTAAGTGGAAACATAGAATGTCTCTCCTTCATAGCCTGGCTTGCTTCACTCAGCAGTAAATCTTCCATACTCTTTCACTTTTTGTCAATAACCAGAGTCTTGGGTTTTTTTTTTTTTATGGCTGAGTAGTATTCCATAGGGTATATGTGCCACACTTTTTCAATCCATTCATCTGTTTGTAGATATCTCGTTTGGTTCCATGTCTTAGCAATTGTGAATAATGCGCAATAAACATCTATGTGCAAGCACTTTTCTGATTAAGAATACTTCTGTCCTTTGGGTAGATATCAAGGGAGCGAGATTGCTGGGTCATATGGTAGTTCTATTTGTATATCTTTGAGGAATCTCCAAATTGTTCTCCACAGTAGCTGGACCAATTTACATTCCCATCAGCAGTGTAGTAGAGTTCCCCTTTCACAACACCCCTGCCATTTTTTTTTTTAATCTTAGTCATTCTGACTGGGTTTAGGTGGTATCTCATTGTGGTTTTGATCTGCATCTCCCTTACAGTGAGGGATGTCGAACATTTTTTCATATGCCTTTTGGCTATTCATATGTCTTCCATAGAGAGAGTGGTTTTTTCAACTCATTCTCCCATCTTCTAATAGGGTTGATCATCTTTTTTCGAGACAGCTGCTTGAGTTCCTGGTTATCAGTACCTTATCTGAGGGATATTTCCCCATTCTGAGGGCTGTTGATTAACACTAATTACTGTGTCTTTTGCCATGTAGAAACTTCTTAATCTGATGTAACTGCACTTACCTATTTTTGGGATTATTGACTGTGTTTTGGGGGTTTTATTTAAGAAGTCTTCGCCTACTCCAGTGTCTGCTAGAGTTTCCCCAGTGTTTTCCAGCATCAGTTTTATAGTTTGAGGTCTTAGGTTTAGATCTTTGATCCACTTTGAAGTCGATTTTTGTCAATGGTGACAGGTAGGGGTTTAGATTCATCTTTACTACAGTTTAATACTAAGCCTTGAAACCAGGTAGTATAAATTTCCCCAACTTTGTTCTCCTTTAAAATTGACCTGACTGAGACCAGCAGTTGTTGTAATGGCTATGTTGCTGGACTCCTGTGTAGTCAACCTTGGTTGAGTCCTGGACCCGGTGGCTTAAACTCATGCTGGGTGCGTGTGCATGCATGCCCAAGATCTCAAGAGGAGAATGGAGGAGAAGGGATTGTGGCATGGCTATCACCCTGGGGGGTGATTTCTTGCATCCTGTCTGTCTGTGTCTTTCTGGTGAGCACGCATACCCAATAGCAAAAACCTCTCCCCTCCAAAAAATTGACCTGGCTTGTCTAGTTTCTTTCATTTTCTTCTTCTAACTTGGCTTAATCAACAACTGTGGATCAAAGTCTTGAATGCCTAGCTTGAAAGAATTTACCAACACCAGGCCAGATCTCCAAGAAGTTCTCAAGCGAGTGCTTGAGTTCCAGAAAAATTAAATACAGACACATGGAAATAAGAGTTCAAAAACTAAGAAAATGACCAACATAATCAAAGAGACGTGTCTGGAGCTGAATATTATATTCCAGAATTTAATTGGAAAGATCGAACCACAACAGAAGACAGATTAATTACATGTGAATGAACTGGTGAAATAGCATTTTATGAGTTTTGACTACAACATTGCTGATTTTCTTCTAGGCTTTGTCTTCCAGCTTTAAGGATTTTTGTCCTGTTTTGAGTTGCCATTAGGTTCACGTACTGGCTATTTGAACAGAATCCCAACCTATTTCCTGGCTTCAAGTTTTAAGCATATTTCTTTGATTTATTAAAGCTAAAACTGCTTTTCCTGAAATTAAAAATATTTTAAAAAATACCTTTTTATTGATCATAGTAAGCTTTATAGCATCAGCTAGGTGTTACCTTATAGTATATTCAATCTACTCAAGAGTTTCACAGCTAAAGTCAGACATGTATTCACTGATATGTACATACCAGCTAAACTTGTTATTGAAAGCAGTTAGGTTATTTAAGACATTTTGTGAATCAATAAAATGTGGGGAGAAAAAGGAATGGAAAACAACTATAGACACTGAAGTTAGTGTGGGAGGAGGGTGGAAAATGGCAGAGGGTGAGAAATAGGGGTTAAATGTATATATACATGTATAGATATGAAACTAGAAATGGAAAATTAATGACAATAACTTGTATGATTAAGCCACTATGCAGCATATTTTGGATGGGAAATCACATTTGGTATGCTGTGACAATGCTCAGGGAATGAATGTAAATTAATTAATTAAAAATATTTCAGAAGAAAATTACAGTGCACTTGTAACAAGATTCTAGCTTTGTCCATAGTTTTAGTTTAAGGTATTTTGTGAATCAATAAAATGTGGAAAAAATGTAAAACAAAAAATTAAATTAAAAAAACAACAAAAACATGTAACAGACACAAGTATGGAAGTTACTGTGTAAAATATTATCTTTGACTTACTTGAT